CCATGAGCTGTTCTTTCAGCATCCTCCCTGAAGTTCTTTTGTGATGATATTTTCCTTTTCTACAGGCTGGTATGTGCTGAACTATGCTGGCTGGTGTCCCCTGGCCTCTCCTGTTTTTCTCTTACTACCTGCATCATCTGGATGCAGAGTGATTTTTTTTTATCCTGGGGTGGTATGTATAGTTCATATCAGTAATTCATATCTGGGCCCTGGGTCTCACCTATGTCTCTCCATGCTACCTGCATGGTTCTCTAGCATCAGCTTCTTCATGTTTGGTCCTGAGGTGTGCACACATTCTTATTTGGTCCTGAGCACTGAAGCTGTGTTGTGGTGGTTTTCTTGGATATACCTACCTGCATAGCCCTGGGTGTCAGCAGCAGACAAGGTCCTGACAAAGTTATTTACAGAAGAACAAGTCGTAGGCCCTGCTGCTGTGTCACACCTGCAATTGTATCTCTGGCCTCCTAAGGCTTCCCCCATTCTGTGACTGTCAGGGCCCAGTTTTGCTAAGCAGTTCATTCTCATCCTCAACACCAACTCCTTGTTCTTTAAGCAGTCTCATAGACTTGTTCCTGGGAGCATTCCACATGCAAGAAATGTTTGTAATGGAGCTGTCTCCTTCAACGGCATCAATATGTATTTCATCATTTCTTTCAGGTTGGTGGTGTGGAATAGAGGATGAGGAGGCAACTTCTGAGCAGAGTGTTTCTGTAAGAGGAAGTGTCACAGATTATGACTTCCAAGTCAGTTCTATCTCTCCAAGAGATCAACCTCTGTGAGATGTGTGGCCTTATCTTAAAAGACATCCTTCACTTGGCTGAGCATAAGGAAGCACACCACAAGCAGAAAATGTGCATGTGTTGAGCATGTGAGAAACAATTCTATTTCAGTTCAATTTTTCAGCATATTGAAGAGAAGCCATTCAGAAGTGATATGGGCAGAACCTCATTTGTGAAGAACTGTAAATTCCATGAACCAGGAAGGCCTTTATACACAGGGAGGTTGGAAGTGATTTCCTGTCCAGCTTGGAATTTCTCCATCAAGTCTTCTTCCTGTGGAAAAGTCAAATAGCAAAACCAAGTATGGTGCTGCCTCTCGCAGGAGAAAGCTCATTGTAACTGGGAAGAATGTGATGAAGTGTTCATCCCCAAACACACATTTACTTGTTCAGCATTAGAGAGTCCTCACTAGAGAAAGATGTTACATGTGCAGAGAGTGTGGGGAATCCTTTACCCACAGCTCCAGTCTCATTAATACCAGAGTACACACTGGAGAAAGACCTTATAAGTGCTCAGAGTGTGGCAAGTCCTTTAGCCAAAGCTCTAACCTCTTTCAACATTGGGGAGTTCACACTGGAGAAAGGCCTTTAAGTGCTGTGAATGCAGTAAATCCTTTAGCCAGAGCTGCAGCCTCAATAACCACTGGAAAGTTCACCCTGGATAGAGGCCTTTTGAGTGTGGGGAATGTGGGAAATCTTTATCCAAAGATCCAACCCAATCTAACATTACAGAATTCACACTGGACAAAGGCTTTTTAAGTGTAGTGAATGTGGGACATTCTTTAGCCAGAGCTCTGCACTCCCGCAACAGCATAGTATTCACACTGGAGAAAGGCCTTATGAACGTGGGAAATTCTTTACCTACAATTCCAGTGTTCTAAACCACCAGAACATTCCCACTGGGTGAAGGCCTTATCAGTGCAGTGAATGTAGGAAATCCTTTGGTCAGTATTGCAGCCTTATTCTACACCTGAGAGTTCACCCTGGAGAAAGGTCTTGTGGGTGCAGTGAATATGGGAAATCCTTTAGCCAAAGGTCTGTACTCCTTAAACACCACACAGTTCATACTGAAGAAAGGCCCTATGAGTGCAGTAAATGTGTACTTTAACTTCAGTGACCATAGGAGAGTTCACACTGGAGAAAGGCCCTAGAGGGTCTTAAGTGTGGAAAATCTTAGCCAAAGCTCTGGCTTCATTCAACACCAGATTTCACTCTGGAGTAGGGCCTTATAAATGTTTTGAATATGAGAAAGCTATCAGCCAAATGCCTTTCCTCAGGTACCACAAAGTTCACATGGGGAAGACACCTTAATGTCCTGGAAGTGGGGCACTTTCTTGTTTAATGCAATGACACTGGAGGAAATCCCTTAGGATGCCATTTGCCTGAACTGAACCTGATTCATTCACACGTCCACATTGATTCCAGGTGTGGGGGAAGCTTGAAGCTTTGTGCTGCACTTCTAAACCTGTCCAGGGTCTTTGCCCAAGCGTTAGTCACCTTCAGTACTGTAACTGGAGCCGTGTGGCCTCTATCACCTGCCAGGCGCCCACAGTGTGTGTTGGTACTCCTTTTGCATAGGGAAGTGGTTAGTCTTTGCTTTCCCAACCCAGAGCAGGATTTGTGAGATGACAGCATTCACTCCCAACGTGTTAAGGTCTGGGTCTGACTCAGGTTTGGCCCCAAAGACCTGGTCTGAGTCCTGCTTGTGAATTAAAAGATGGACTACGTTTTCCAGAGATTGTCTTTCATGACCAGTGATGAGTTTTGTGGCCTTTACCTGACCAACCTGAGAAAAACCTGCCTCTTGTTTCTCTGCTTTGTGTGATGATAAATTTCTTTTCTAAAAAATTGTAGATAGACACAATACCTTTTTTCGCTTATTTATTTTTATGTGATGCTGAGGATTGAACCCAGTGCCTCACACATGCTAGGCAAGCGTGCTACCACTGAGCTATAACTGCGGCACCGATGTCTTATCTCTTAAGCCACCTTTAATCCTGGGAGCCCTATTCACTTTATTGAGTGATTTGAAAACAGGGAGAGTTCTGTCATAATGAAAGCAGCAGCAGCATTTGAGAGCATTCCACATGTACGCCTCAGGGTATTATGGCAGAAAGTAATTCTTCTGTTTGGGCTCGATTTGTATTTCTCCCCAAGCCTCCAAGGAAAGCACCATGGACCTGACTTACAGCCTGGCTACTGTGGTACTTTGTGGCTTCTGAGCTCACTTGGGAGGTGTGACAACCTTCAGTACTTATGTGAAATTTCAGTACAGTGTGAAATTTGTTCACAGGTGTTAGTTACTGTGTGATTCCCTTGAGAGAAATCTCTTTCCCTCGTCCTGCAAAGGAGCCATGAGTCCTAGGATAGCACCAATAGTTGCAGTGTGGGGCAAGGGACCGTGATTGTTACATGAACACTGGATTAATAGATAGTGGAAAGGGGAAGGAGCAGGTTGAGAGGGTGGGGTCAGGGCCAGTGACAGAGGGGATCGGGGCACTGGGATGCAGCTCAATGGCTAACAACGCCATGGGGCTGTAGTGGCTGGAGGGAGGGACAAGGGTGATGGGCCTATCACCCCATCCAAGATGGCCTCTGGGGTACAGCTCTCTGTTTCTGTGTGGGCATGGGGTTCCAAGCCATGTTTGCTCAAGCCCTCGGGGCCAGGCTGGGGCATGGTGGAGTCCTTCAAAATATGCTTGTTTCCCCCACATATGTGGTCCTGTTGAGACCCTCAATCTTGGAGGGAGCCCAGTCACCAGGACTTTCTGTTTGGCAGTTTCTGCCCTAGAAGGGCTACTCCCCCGTCCTAGGTCCAAATGAGAAGTTACCGTTCTGCCTCCCCACCTTCATCCCTTGGAGTCAGCACTTTGCCCATGTGTGGCTTGGATGGATTACTTCTCTCCAGGACACACCTGGACCCAGGGTCACCTTGGGCATATAAGTAAGACTGGAGGTGTGGGAGTCTCATGATTGTACTGTCTGCATTTGAAATGCAATCTTTGAGGCAGGGAAGGTTTTGAATGAGCATTTGACTAGTCTGATGATTGACAAATTTAATTAGGGAGAAAGCACAGAGATCTAGTTCCCTGAGTTTGCTTGTTTTTGCTAACATCACAGTTGCTATCTGATGTGGCCTCAAGGATGAGCTGGTACTTGACTTAGCCTTAGGCTGGGAGCAGACATCTGAGCAGAATAAACTTGGTGAGCTGTGGGAGGAGATGTCCCTGGGCCCTTGGCAGCAGAGACAGCAACTTTGGAAGCCCCAGTCTGACTTTACTCACCTGGCAGAACACACTTGCTGATACAGTGAGGCCTCTGAGTCACATCTGGATGAGGACATTAAAAATTGAGAAGTGGCCCAGTCACCAATTTCAGTGACTGTGATTATACAATGGTAGCCAAACAGCACCTAGCCTTCAATGCCATAGTTAAAGAATAAGCAACATTCTTGGCACGAATCTGATTTCTTTACTGAAAATGCACCTTGTCACCACTCAGTTGCCAGCAGGTGGTGGCTGCCAGCCTTCAGAGAAGCCTGAAAGTTCAGACTGGAGCTCTGAAAGAGGCTGCCTGCTCAAGTCTACTAAGGAGCAGTGTTGTCCTGCTGGAAGGAGAATACTCCCTGGACCTCACTGGGCCATGGTTGTGTGAACCAGCAGAAAGCAGCACTTTCCTAAGCAAAATAGGAAGGAAATAAAGAAAAAAGTATGAAGCCGATAAACAACAACAACAAAAACATATCAGAATGGGAAACCAGCAGTTTGTGTAGCAACAGTGACACTGGGCTCTTCATCAATAGTGAAGAATGGCAAGGGGATGAAGAGAGTCACTGTCCCTAATCTCCTGCCCAGTGGACTCCTGGTGGTTGCTTAAGTAGAAAAAAATGGATTCTGAACTGGATAAATTTTTAGATTCCACATTCTTTTTACTTTCTTGACCTTCTCAAAGAGGATACCATGCTGATTTGAATTATGTGCCAGGAGCTGCAGTGTGATGCCTTAGAAATGGGAAAGAAAGCTGGTTGGAAGAATTCATCTGGTTCTTAGCAGTCTTTCTCATTTTTGCACGTAATTGAAAGTGGCCATCACAAGGGATAGAATTCTAAGTTGAGGAAGATGAACTAAAGACCAGAAAAAACTTAGGTGTGACTAAGGTGTGACTATGCATCAAAAAACAGAAGTAATAATGCTGGGTGCAGTGGTGCACACCCATGATTCCAGCTACTAAGGGGCTGAGGCAGGAGGATTGAAAGTTCAAGGCAAGCCTCAGCATAATTTGTTGCATAGTAAGCAACTTAATGAGATCCTGGATAGGCATGTAGCTCAGTGGTAATGTGCCCCTGTGGTCAATTCACAGTGTGTGTGTGTGTGCGCGCACACACACACACACACACACACACTTTATAAACACATAGTTTGAGTAAATTATACCTCAAACTATTTTAGATATAAAAAAGCTTCTTATTCATTTCACTATATTTCATTATTTTCTATGCACTTCAGCTTTTTTGTGCCTACTATATAAATATGGTAGAAACAATACATTGGTGTGCTACTGATAACTTTCTCAAATTCCATGTTCTGTAGTGACATTATGTGACAAATGGAAATTAGCCATGATGGGAGATTTTACATCAAGAAATGTGGCAAAAATTTCAAACACTTGCTTGATTAACTGTACTATGAATTATCTAGAATTAGAAAATGCTGGAGAATATGCTAATAATACAAATTAAACTTTAAAATATATGTAGATGTGATCATTGCATTGTGTATAAGGCATATACACAAAATTAGGCACTACACATTCAGGATTGCAGTTAAAAATTCACATTATTGAAGCATAGGGTCTAACATACATCTGTATTTTTTTCTATCAACTTATTTGTTGATAAAAAGGGAATATAGCTAAAACTCATTTTTAGTTATACAAACAAAAGTTATGAATATATTTTCTCAAAAACATGCTGGTTGTAAATAAAAATGCTCAGTATAATAAAACACCAGGGAAATGGTACTAAACCACATTATTACACTGCTACACATTTACTATTAAAAAACTAACCATATCCAGTGGATATGAAGAACCAGCACTCTCATACACTGCTCATAGGAATCCAAAGAAAATAAGCATGTGAGATCAGAGTGTAGCAATTCTTAAAAGGTTATACATTCACCTACTCTGTGACTCAGGCATTAACACAAGAGAGAGTAAACACATCCTTGGAAAAGTGTTTGCAGCAGCTTTATTTGCAATAAATCTAAAACTTGTTGTAAACAACCAAAATATCTATGACCAGATGAATAAATAAAAAATAGGTTATAGCCATATAACCTCTTACTTCTCAGCAATAAAAAATATCCAGTCATCCTCATGTTCCTGTTGATGGGCAGACTCACAGCTTTGGGGACAGGAGTACCCAGTGTTTCTTCTTTGTAGCAAAGCCACAAACCTTTTTCCTTTCTCTTAAAAAACAAAAATCCCATTCAATACTGATAAATCTCATACCCAGGGGAAAAAGCATGAGAACTTAAAATGATTTCAATAACATACAATTCCAGGATATGAATGAATCTATTGTTGTACAGGTGAAAGTCTGAATTTCTTTGTTTTTGAAAAATCAGGATTGACAATGTTGACTCCATCACCTTTCTCCTCATGCCCTGGGGGACCTCTTGCCTCAGTGGTAACAAACATAGCTAAGAGGTGAAGACTGTTTCCACTGGACTTGGCAGGAATACTGCCTGCTCACAGAGGCCATGTAAGTGGACCAAGATCTCCCTTCTTAGAATCCTTATTTTCCTGTCTGCACAGTACAGCCTTGAGATGAGCAGTCTCTGTAAATAACTTCAGCTACATAAGATACAGAGTTCTGGAGGTCCTAAGTATTTCTGACCTGCTCATCTTTCATAGCCAGGGTGACTGTAACATTGTGGATACCCATGTAAAAGAGGCACCTTCCAATCAGTTTGTGGTAGTCTCTCCCACTACCTATTAATCCAGTATTTCTGTAACAACTATAATCTTACAGCTTGTGATGTTATCCTATGGAACTCAGAATGTCAGGGCATACAGATCCATGCAGGGCCTGACAAACAGGTACCCCAGCCAATACTGAGCTTGAGGCAATATCCCTTTGAAAAGGAAAATAAGTTCATGTTGCTCTCAGAAGTATCAGATTGTCACTACCTCTCCCGGCTTCAAACAGCACCCTGCAGGTTTTCCTGGAAGCCTCAGGCAGCAATACAGAAGGCCCAAGCCAGAAAGAGCTGTATTCTGCCAACATTCCACTACCCTCCCTAGGGACACAATGTTTGGGATCCCAACAACTTGTTCACCCAAAAGATCCCAATTGTTTTCAAAGAACTACATTCAGTAAATAGAATTCCCCCAAATAACTGGTGCCTCAACCAATAAAGGTTTTATTATCAGACACCCGGAGCAATGAGACACAGGTGGTTCCCACACTTGGTGATTCTGTGGTTGGAAAAATTCCATCAAGAGTCACATGAAACCAACAATATTTCTGAAAAAGGTCCACCTTCCTAAGTCAACAGCACAGTCCTTGTGGCATGGGCTAACTCATCAGAGAGAAATAGATGAAAAGGGGAGGAATGCGTAGTCTACTTACAAATCCTTTCCTACTTACAAATCCCTGTTTCACTGGGGTGGGTGAATGGTGCATACTGTGGGCACCTTCCAGGAGGTATAGAGTTAAGCTTTCAGTGGCATGAATTTGGCATGGGGCCCAGGCATTAATGAGTGCAGCCTAGCTCCCACATACCTGGAATGTGAGTGGATGCTTGGATGTAGGTGGTCCTATTCAGGCAGTGGCACCACCAAAACCTTTCAAGAGCTGGTATAATGAACAAGAAAATAACATATCCATGCACATCAAAGGTATATTTCTCATATGAACTTTGTGGTAATCCATTGAGATAAGGCTTTCAGCTGAATGTTTTCTCAAGTTCACTGTTCTCACAAGGACTTTTCTAAGGTGAATTTTCAAGTTTGTGGAGATTGGATCTTCAGCTACAGGATTTTCCACATCGCCCACAGGCCTTTATCGAGTATGAATTCGCCTGTGTTTAATGAGGCTAGAGCTATGGCTAAAGGATTTCCCACATTCGTTGCACTCATAAGGTCTTTCCCCAGTATGAACTCTCTTGTGTTTAATGAGACTGGAGTTTTGAGTAAAGGATTTCCCACATTCACTGCACTCATAAGGCTTTGAACCAGTGTGAACTCTCTGGTGTTTTTGGAGACTGGAACTATAAGTAAAGAATTTCCCACATTCACTGCACTCATAAGGCCTTTCTCCAGTGTGAACTCTACGATGCTGAAGGAGTGCAGAGCTCTGGCTAAAGGATTTCCCACATTCATTGCACTTAAAGGGCCTTTCTCCAGTATGAACTCTCCTGTGTTCAATAAGGCTGGAATTTTGACTGAATGATTTCCCACACTCACTGCATTCATAAGGTTTTGATCCACTATGAACTTTCTGGTGCTTTATGAGACTGGAATGATATGTAAAGAATTTCCCACATTCACTGCATTCGTAAGGCCTTTCTCCAGTGTGCATGCTTTGGTGTTGAAGAAGTGCTGAGCTCTCACTAAAGGATTTTCCACATTCACTGCACTCATAAGGCCTTTCTCCAGTGTGAACTCTCCGATGTTTGATGAGGTTGGACTTGTTGCTAAATAATTTACCACATTCCTCACATTCATGAGGTCGCACTCCAGTGTGAACTCTCCGGTGCTGAATGAGGCTAGAGCTCTGCCTAAATGATTTCCCACACTCCCCACACTCATAAGGTTTTTCACCAGTGTGAACCCTCCAGTGGTCATTGAGGCTATAGCTTTTGCTAAAAGATTTCCCACACTCAGTGCACATATAACATCTTTCTCTGGTGTGGGTTTTCGGCTGCTGCACGGTTGTGTGTTCAAGGCTGCATGTCTTTATGTATTCTCTACAGTCAAAATGAGTTTTTCCATTGTGACAGACAGTTCCCAAATTACTTTTGCCATTTGACTGTTCCTCAATGCAAGTGGCTGGTTGATGGAGAAATTCTGAGCCGGCCATGAAGTCCTTCCCAACTTCTATGCAGGCAAAGGGTTCCCTTGATTCATGGAATTTGTACCTCTTCATAAATAAGGCTCTTCCCACATTGCTTTTGAAGGGTTTCTCTCCAAAGTGCTGATCAATGTCTGCAGAGAAACACAATTGTTTCCCAGATGCCCCACATCTGTACAGTTTCTGCTGACAATGTGTTCCCTGTTGGTGATGAGTTATGTGCAAAATGTCTCTCAAGACCAGGCCATACATCACACAGGGAGGAGCCTTCTGGGGAGACAGACCTTCATTTGAAGTCCTCACTTGGGACACATCTTCTAAAGAAATATCCTGCTCAGAAAGATCCTCCTCATTCTCCATTCCATGCCAACAATCTGAAAGCAAGAAATGCTAGTGAAGTGCTAGTGGGAAGGGGCAACTGCTACAAGCCAAGGAACAAATCCATGGGATTGTTTGTAAGACAAGGGAGTTGGGTTCTGGTTGAGAATGAGGGGCTCAGTAATACTGGGTTATAAAGATGATAGAATGGGGGAGAGTTGATGAGGCAAGGGACACACCATGTGATGTGACAGAAAGAGAGAAGAGGGAGAATTTGAAACTTTATCCTCTGCAAACAACTTCCTGCATAACCTTCTCTGCTGATGATACTAAGTGCTGTATGGAATGGTGTATCCAGGCCCAAGAAAAATATATGCCTTTAGTAGAGCAGCTGGCCTTTAAGGACAGTTTAAGGATGTATGCTTATTTCATGACACAATATATAAAGGCCAATGTTGGAGAGCACGGTAGAAGTGGGAGTTCAGAAATGTATAAATTAGCTGCAGGCTGGATATGAGAGTAGAAGTGACAAGTAGTGGAGCTGACAAAATAAAAAAGTATCAAAATGACAAAAGAAAAAACAGAAATGAGCTCCAGCCACTGGCACTGGCACCAAAACACTACTCAAACAGAATATATATCTGCTACGATGTGAGCACAGCTTTCACATCATTTTCTTAACCTGGGGCAGGCTTCCTCTCAGTTCCTCTTGATGTTGTTTGTGAACCAATGAGGGCTATTTACCTCAATTCCAAAATGATACAAAAACATGGCACTTAGGGATACAAGTACTAAAGGAAAGATGGGGAAACAAGAGCAGCCAGCATTGACCCAGAAAAAATTTAGCACACGACAGCCCAGAGAAATAAAACAAATATCAGAAAGAAAATTTCAAAGAAAGCTCTTGTAAGAATAGTACAGTCTCTGTTAAGTATGAGCATTTCAGTGGCATGATCCCTGGTACAGGCAGTCATAAGGAAACATTGGTTAGAAGAAGGAAGTAGAACCTGGCGCACATAGAGGTGTCAAAGCTGGACAAAGACATCGAATCATGGAGAGGGAAAGAAGGCAGGATGCAGTAACGTGACTGCAAGACTTCTGATCCTGAGTCTCCTTGTGAGGCTACAGGGAAACAGAGTTGGGGATGTTTAGGCAAAGAGAAGCAGTACACATCTCAATCCTACTAACCACAGAACCTACCCAGGGAGCAGAGGGAAGTAGAGCCAGTGGTCCTGTGTGAAGACAGACCTGCCTCTTAGAAAAAGGGTGTGAAAACAGACTTGCTCGGGGCTCATGGGTGGGTGTCAGGAACTTACCCAGGGAAGTTATAAGGGCCAAGTTCTCCACCATCACATCACGGTACAGGCATTGTTGAGCCTGGTCAAGGAGATTCCATTCTTCACAAGAGAAGTGTATGGCTACATCTTCAAAAGTTATGTGGCCCTGCCATAATGGAAGAAAATCAAACCACTTTCCTGAGGACATACAATCCATTCCCCCACATATTTATCTCAAGCCCATTCCATTCCCAAGCTTCCAATTGCCACTGTCCTCTTCTGGGTTCAATGATCACTGGGCACAGCATCAACAACAGGAAGGTGGACCAATAACTTAGCTAGGGACCTGGCACAGAATTATCTGCCCTTGCCCCTTTGTACCCAAGATCATGTCAGTCTCAATACAGGACCCCAGGACAGTCACAGTTACTTGCTGTCCAAGTGCACATCATTATTTACACTTCACATCCCTCATAACTAGAGATACCAAAGTCCCAGGGCCAAAACAACTTCACTGTCCTACACCTCATCTTCCTGATTTCCTTACCTCCTCTTCACACCATTGGTGAAGGTAAACTCTCACCCTAGGTTTATGGGGATGACCAAACATACAATATCTGATACTGGATAGATTAACGACAATCCTTGTAGAGGACAATGTATACCACTTAAGACTACATAGAGGTATGGTCCAGAAAAATTGAACCAGGGGCTGTGGGATGCAAACTTTTTAGGACCAAAAGGGTAAGATACTCCCTGGTCCCCTCAACTGATATGTTTGGGTAACTACTTGGGCTGGTAAGGAGGTGAAATCTGCTACAAAGGAATAAGCAGAAATTATGTCTGGTCCCCTTCATAAAAAGAATTGTCTATGTGGAGATATTATTAGCTGGAGAAGAATGAGGAAAGGAACTTATATTCAGTTTACTTGATATCACCCGAATTTCACCAGCTGTCAAGACACCACACAGTACCTGTAACAGCACACAACACTCACAGTATGCTTAACAAATATGAACAGGATCAAAAACTGCCCTGCACTTCTCATAGTTTCCACTAGTGGGGGCAGACAAGGTTATATTAAGTCCCCTGCCTGGCTCCATTTTTTTGCCCCAGACTTAGCCACACTGGCCATGTGTTCATCTCAAATACTCATGACCCTACTCTACTCATGTCTGTACCAGATGTCCAACTTTTCTCTATATACCTAACACTTTAAGATCTGCTCCACTCTTCATTCAACCCTGGGCAAGTGACTATCACAGACAGATGTGATTACATCTGCCCCTAGCTTTATCTTCCAGGCAGAATGAAACACTAGGCCCCACTAAAGTCACTACCTAAAATCCTAGCAATTCCATAGATTGGACACCAAGTCCAGCCAAAGTGTCATCTTGCCTCAAATATACCTATACCTCGCAACCATCCCACATCCATTCCTCCACTGAAAGCCTATGCTACTTGCAAAACATCCTGTTTGCTACCTCCTACTTTCATGGCCACTCACCTCCTTTACCTCTATTCCCATAATGTATTTGTAAAGCCTATTGCCATCAACTGGAAACTGAACCAAGAGGCACTGTTTTTGGCTCCATCCAACCCTGCCAATGCCCCTATGCCTTCCACCATAAATCCTCAATGTGATTCACAGCTCACTAACTTTAGTCCACACAACCACATTTTGGATGTCTCCATTGTCAACCACTTACCAGATTTCCAGATCAGTGTATTCAGCTCCCCACTTAATTCTACCTCTCTGGTGGAAACATCTCTATATTCTTAACATAGCCAAATCAAAACTCCTGATGTCCCAGTGAATATTATTATTAATACCATCTTCTCTATCTCAGTTAATTGAAACTGAATTCCCTCAAAAACTACAGGGTCATTCCTGAATCCTGTTTCCTCAATGTCCAAATTAGAAGTTGCCTTTTAAAAGAACTTCACATCCAAAATGTAATCTATAACCGTGGTCCATTGGCCTCACCTGAGTATGGCCGTAGCCCCCACCCCGATCTTCCTTCTCCCTCAACCCCTGTCTGTTCTCCACTCTGCAGACGGATGGAGACTAGTAAGACTTCTGACCCTAACTTCCCGCTGCCCCCAGCACAGTCACCATCCCTACTCCTTCCCATGATCTGTTGTCACGAAGAAGAGACCCGTGGCTTCCTGAACATTCCCGGGTCAGGTTCCCCTCCACTCATCCGCACACCTCCAGGTGGCAGTTCTAGGGAGGGCCTCCATAAGGTCCTGGCGTGGCCTTAGGACCCTAGGCTTGGAGTTTATCCAAGGTCCCACACCCAAGAACTAGAAAAATGGCAC